ACCAAGCCTTTTTATTTTGACCCTTACTGCTCAGATATGATAGAAGCTTGCTACTGTTTTAGTTTTCATAAAAATGAAATATTTGTGATGGAGAAGCTTGATTTAAGTGCACCTCATGGTCTACCAAAACCAGCTGCTTATTTCTACGTTATCACAGACCTCTAGCACTTAAGTTACAATTGTAATAAAATCAGTTCTTCTGGAGATGCATGGCAAAAATGTATATACTAAAACCACTAAATTGGGAGCTTCTGGATATTAGTCCAAGTACTACATATTGGCAGAATTTTTGCTTGAGTAAAGCCCACAGGCTGTAGAATTCAGGGATTATAAAAATGTCTGCCCAAATCACACCCCATTTCCCTGCCTGTAACAGGCAGAATTTACCAGGGCAAGTGATGGGAGGGCATAACCTCCACCGGCCAGCCTTTTCTGTGCACGGACGTCCCTTGCACGGTGCAGGAGCCCCCAGCCCCCTGCCATCAATGTCACCTGGAGCTCAGCTGTACCTCTTAAAGCCCCAGTACAAGTGCTAACAGGAGCGAGGAGGTGATGGACCTGCCGCGGCTCCCTGCGGGCCAGCTCTTCTCCAGCTGCTGCCCTACAGGCCCCAGGCCTTAAGAGGGACTTCTCTGGAGCACCACCTGGAGCAACAGAGGGACTTAAGTGACGGTCCCGCATCAGGACTGCCTCAGGTACACTAAGGCCGTTGGTTTGAACCAGGCCTTTTCCATGCCCCAGCATGACCTCCCCTGCTAACGCTGCCTTGCAATTGCACTGGCATCAGCTCTGCCTTTGAAGCTGGAAATGGTTTACGGGTGTGATGGGGTGAAACTGGCCGGTTGTACCCCTTGTTGGTGAGCCTGGCCCCTAATACCATTGTATCCTACATGAAGACTCAGTTCAAAATATGGAGGATAAAAACCATTTCTAAAAGTTAGTATTTCTACAGCGATGTAAAATCCATAGGGACCATGACAAACCTCAACCCATTTCTCTCTAAACAGAGTGGTATTTGTTAGATGTTGCCTCCTCTAACACTTCAAAGCCTCTATATATACACATTATTAATAAAAATAGTATTTTCACTGCACATTTATACACATCTGTGACTTGCTTTTCTCAGAGCATTACGTAGTGCACTGCTGGAGTCTCAGATACTGCAGTGATGAGTTTAAGGCAGGAATAAAGTGTTTGACCAAATTGTTAGTGGGATCTGAAAGGACATTATGACTATTGTTGCTGGATGGAGAAACATCTGCACGTAATGATGCCTATATGCAAACCCCCAGATTTGTGCTAGCATTGAGGACCAGGGTACTAAAAAATAAAATCCCTGACTGATGTAATTTATCAAATAAAGCCTTAGTGCAAGTGCAATTACGTCAGGAAAAACTAATCATTCCCATGGAAGGTGTCTGGACACGAGTATAAAACATGCCTTTGCATGCATCACACCATGTGCTTTGTCATGCAGGTACCGTCCTGTGTGTCCCCAGCAGGCAAAGCACTCCTAACCCCAGACACATTCTGCCCCTGGGGTGTGCAGGGCATCCTGCGCCCCCTCTGCAGGGCAGTTCATTTTGGTTGGTACTGCCAACTGATAATGAAATAAAGGTCAACAAACCAACCAACCAACCACAACCCTCTTGTTGCTTGCAATTACACAGCCACGTTAATGATCCCATTGCAATCCCTTCCTTCCCGTCCTGCTCTGTTCCAGGTTCTGCTTCCTCTCTCCGCGTGAGAAAGTGTGCTACAGCACAGGCAACACCCTGTCCTGCTGCTGGCGGTGTCCCCAGCGAGGATGTTTCCCATGCCTCCTCTTCCAAGATTTCCTAAGCCCACAAGAAGCAGAATATGCTCTACTGGAAGTAGTTCTCGGGAATCAAACTAATTTTAACTGACAACCTGAAAACCAATTGAAAATTAGCAACTGTAGCCTGTAGCGAACAGGCATGAACTTGTCTGAATTAAATCTACCTATGATCTTGTTTTTTTTCTTTTTGTTAAGAGTGAGCCTAAGAGGATGGCATTCTTTACCAATGCATGGCAGTGAAACACCCTAATTAGGTGAAAACATTTGTGTATAGTATTCCAGCAAAACTCATAGCATGAAAACAACACTATAGGCTCTTCTATGTTGCTTCCCCCGTAACAGTAAAATGTCTTCCTACAGCTAGAACAATACCAGTAAGAGTACAGCCCTGCTAATGTTTCTAAACCACAGCCTTCTGCTAACACAGCCGTGTCAGACTTCCATCCTCCCACGCAACTCATACCAACAGAAGCGTGTATCCACCTTTCCAGAGGACAACGCTATTCTCAGTTGATGGCTTTGATAAACCTCCGTCGGCTTCCACAGTACTGATTCAGCTGGAAACAATCTTCTTCAAACAAATGAATCCAGCCCCTACTTTTTGTCTCTGCAAGTGCAACGCGTCAGTGCGCATTGCTTCAGGTAACCCTGCAGCTCCTCCTTGCACCAAATAACCAAACTCTTGCATTATCTGTCCTGCAGGCCTTCAGTATTTTCTTCAAGCCAAAACTTGCCCCGTGGCTCTTTACTGAAGCTGCAAGACTTCAACTAGAGAAGGAGGGAAGACTTGGAGCTTTTATCATGTTTTGCGAGCCCAGATCATACATATCAACTGGTGACAATACCCTTAGACATGCAAAGACCGGCTGAACATCAGAGGCTGTTTGGGACCCACAAGAGAGCAACACAGCCCCCTCCACCAAATAAACATGGTGGCATAGGATAGTGGCACTTCTTCGATTTTGCTACTTCAGTGACAAAGCGTGTTTCAGCATTAGGATTCATTTTCTTTCTTACAAGGAGTTTGAAAAATATTTGCAAAGATAATTGTCCAATGAGGTCATTTTTATACTAACCGTTTTCTGGAATTCATTGGGCTAGAAATGTGGTTTTCTTCCATATAGCACAACTATGTTTATTATACTCATTTTTTATTTAAAAAATAAAGGAGAAAAGCCCAAGCAGCTCCTAGAGCTAGTTTTTTCCATGGATTTGTATGCCGTGCTTCATCGACTTCGTCTGAGAGGGCAGAAGTTCCAATGGGAGCTTTTCCTGCACTCAGGGTGTTTTAGGTCTTCTTCCCATACAAACCGCCTGGCATTTAGTAAGATGGGAACACATGCTGGGAGCTTTCCCTCAGTGCACACGAGTTTCTCCCTCCTTCCCCACGCTTATTTCACACTACTAATAGAAATAAATTTCCTTCTGCCATCCAACGGGCTCAAAAGTTATTAGGGACACAGGCATGCAGCAAGATCATATAAACCTCCTGTCTACAGGAACAAATATATTTCTCCCCACCTCCGCCACCCCTTCAGCAGCCTCATTTGCTGGTGTCTCCATTAAAGGAAACACCATAGATAACAAAGTTTCTTACCGAGTATTATTTTGAAAACAAGTCAAAGATGATGCAAGGCTTACTTAAAAATTAGCAAGTTTCATGTTAACTTATGGAAAATAGGATCGGTATGCTCATGAAAAGGTAGGAAACATGCTTAAAAGTACTTCAGCATGAATCTCACGTCATACAGGGTTCCAAAGAACGCACCAGTAACCCTTTCCTGATACATATTTGACCTTTATTGCCAGCACACAATTGCAACATCCTGAATGTTTGTAGCTAAAGTCTTCCCAGCCAATTTTCCAGCTTGCTTACATCTATACCAAAGTGTAGTTAACTAAATATAATTTATACATGAGCATCTAACCTGTATCTACGTGAGGCTTTTTGTGATGTTCATGACTGCCATGCACTATCAAGAATGGATTAAAAAAGTTCCAGCTTTCTGAAAGTAACAATTATACTTTTCATTTTACATATAATGCACCTACACTAAGACTAAACCATAAATTAAGCCAAATGCAGATGAAGAAAAAAAAAGTGTATTGTGTATTTAAGAAACTTCCTTTGAAACAAATTATTTTATCTCGATCCAAACATTCACAATAGCAGGAAGCTGGATGATAGCATGTTTACAGTCATATAATAGCTCCAAACCCAGTAAAGCATCCTCCCGATATATTAAGAAAAGATCTTTTAAGAGATGAAAAATAAGATTAGTCCAAAGTCTCTTGACTGAATTAACCTAAGACAAAAGATTTGGACACCTATGGTGCATATTATTTAAAAATTGGTTTAAGCAGGGGTTTTTTGCAAACAAATATGCAAATATTCTATTAAACATTCCTACTTTCCTGATAAGGCTCAAAATTTGGTCAGAAAGACAAATCAGCTCCCGTATTACAGAAGCTTAGAAGTGGATTTTGGGAGAGATTTTCCAGCCTTGTTTTTGCACGTTACTCCCTTTTTTTCTCTCCCATAATTTTTCTTGCAAACAGCTTCAAAACAGCAGGTACTATGATACACCATATCCTGCACTCTCCTCTACAGAAGTTGCCATTACAAAGATCTCAATCACATAAAAAAATTCAAACTTGCTTTAAGAATAGCAGTTTTAAGTGTAAGTGGCACAATACAGAATGGTATTAGTGATATTTGAGCTAGCTCCAGATTAACTGGCAAAGCTCAATGGCACAGGCTGACAGGAATAAGGGAAATGTGAAGTCCTGCATGCAGTGAACACTCCTGGCTCTCAGCTGGGTCAGCCTGACTCACGACACGCTCGAGATTATGTACATCATTTGACAAATACTCAGGACAGGGATTTCAGACACTAACAACATGTTAAGTCAGCTTTGGATCTCCACTCTGATCGTACATATGGTAGAAAATACCAACCCAGAATTTAGGCAAGCAGCACAATACTGCCTTTAAATGAAAAAGGAACAGAAACACTTGCTTCTCTCTTCAGATTTCAATTCTCAGCCATCACCTATTGCATTTTATCTTCTCACTTTTAAAAATAGCACTGCAAGTAAAAAGCATTAATTTTAACTTCAAATTTAACTGTAGTCCCCTCCTCTAAAAAAACCCCAGTAATAGCAAAAGAAAACACAAGACTTTTAGACAAACAGGTTTATAAGGTTTATTTTCCATTGCACATACATGGATTATATACAAGTTAGTAACATAAGTTACTTCTTAATTTTCTAAAAGATTGTTACAGCAAACACTTGCCATTTTAAAACATCAAGTCAGAAATCAATCTAAAAAGGTAAATATGACAATATTTTAAAAACGAAACAAATTGCACTTTGTTAGGGAGAGTCAAATACAGGTTTGTCTATATGCTGTAACAAACTATATAGCAGGTAATATTACAGTTAGAAGTAGCTCTTGCAGTCCATTTGTACATTAATAATTCTTTTCAATTTTACTTAATTAAAAACTGGTGGATATTTCAAAGACTTTCTCTTCCTAGTATTCAAGATTCATCACATGAAATGCACTAGCAACTAAGTCTTTATGCAACTGCTATTCAAATATAAGAAGAACACCACACCTGAAAATAAGGAAAAAACTAAAACATATTGATTTTACACGTATCATGAGATGAAAAAGGTGTTCAGCAATAAAGCCCTGTCCACTACTTACATAAAAGAAGATTTAAAAAAATGATCACTGCACACAACACAAAGGGTGGGGTCATACTGTAGTTTTTAAGTCTCCTGTAACAGTAATATTCCTCATTACTGTTCACAGATGAGTGTTTCCATAGCAAACCTGTTCTCAAAGTGTCGAATCTTTCGGCAATTGATGGTTTCACGCTTCTGAATTCCTGTTTGTATTGGTAAAGAACAATGGATGGTAAACAGAAGAGGGGATGAGGTACATCAGAGACATAATAGTTTTACATTTGCTATAATAAGATGTCACCAGAAATCAGAACTACCCTTCTTCGATCCGCCTCTCAGAGGAAACACACATAGGCACACATTCATACTTAGAAAAATCAAAAAGCAGGCAATGATCCTGAAGGTGTGGTGAATCAAATCGCAGCACTGGTTTAGTTAGAACCAACCTGCCAAAACCCCCCCACTGGCTAGTTTTAACCCAGATCAGTTCCCGATCTCCCTCTCTGTGCGTCTGTAAAAATGCTTGTGGGGACGTGAGAGAGGGAACAGCAAAGGAATAAACCGCTATAGGCAAAAAAGAGTGGACTAGTAGTATTTAAACATCATCTTGGAATCGGAGAACGACAGAATTTAACCAAATTTTAGCCAAACTAATGCTCATTGCCAACCTATGCTCCTCCTTTATTACCACAGGATCAACATACTGAATTTTGAATTGCATTTTGCTATTAAGACCTTTTCATTTTAAAACATTGTTCTAAATTATTTTTATAAAATTTATTTCCTTCCTTGTTTTCCCAAGCAGTCAGGTCCAACAATATGACTAAAGCAATTAAACTGCTTCAGTGTGCACTTGCACATCACATACAGTTTAAATAAAAAAAAAAAAAAAAAAAAAAAAAAAAGAAGCAAGCCTGAGTAAAATCTGAGTGAAAATTTTAAGGCAGTATTTAATAGCTTGTCAAGACTCTTCCAAATGATGTTTTTCAAACATTTTCCATGAAGGAGTACCAAGCACTACAATTCTCCTGTGAAGACAACTCTTACTCACATTTCACTGATGCAAATAGGAACACGTGGACTAATTTATAGGTGGCTTTAAGGACAAGAAGAACCTGCTAAAATCTGAGTGAAAATTTTAAGGCAGTATTTAATAGCTTGTCAAGACTCTTCCAAATGATGTTTTTCAAACATTTTCCATGAAGGAGTACCAAGCACTACAATTCTCCTGTGAAGACAACTCTTACTCACATTTCACTGATGCAAATAGGAACACGTGGACTAATTTATAGGTGGCTTTAAGGACAAGAAGAACCTGCAATTCTGTACTTGGACTACAAGGCTATGGCTTCTCATATATTAAAGGGTTTTTTTGGGGTTTTTTTTGGGGGGGTGGGGTGGGTCAAGAAACAAGATTAAAGAAAAGCATCAATGAAAGCCTGAACCCCAGAAAACATACCCATGCACACACACAAATTTTAGCAGCTCCTAGCTCGCTGGAGCCTTGAGCACTTTTGCACAATAAAATGACTTATTTCCATACCTACACAGAAAATACCAGACGTATTTAAGCCCACAGAGCCAGTTACTGCCATAAGCAACCCTTACTTTAATAAAAGTCATTCCTTTCAACACAATCAAGCCTATTTATTGAACTCAAGCGGCATTGAACTTTCTGCCAACACAAAAGATCGCAGGAGGAACATTTACCTTTCATGGCTTCTTTGCGCTGTAGTTTATAGGTTTCCTTGCCACGGCAGAGGCGGTAAATAAAGAATCCCAGCTGATCTACATTTTCAATGCGATCAGTAACAATCATCTGTTCATGAATCAAATAGGACTGAGGCAAATATGTTCCAGCCTGTCGAACAAAAATATAACAGCTCTGTCAAAAGCCATCTCTTCGTGGTCTAAGTACACAAGAAACACTTTGCAATGTGTTTCTTTAACATGGCTATGACATATCTTCTTCGAATTCTTTCAAAATATGTATTACCCACAGAATTTTATTCTAAATGTGCAAACATGACTTTACTGCACTACAGAAATACATAACGATTACAGTCAAAAAGGTCACAAAACTTCCACTGATGCATAGGTCCACTGCCCTCCTGCTACAGTAATGTAAGTCTTCAGCAGAGAAGAAATGTTTCCTTCCGGAAGCACCCGCTGTCACAGTTTTATTTAAGTCCTGCATTTATCATCCAAAGTTTTCACTTAATTAACAACAGCCCAACAGACCTCAGCGGGAACTCCTCCCAAACAGGAGTTGGTAGAAGCATGCTCTACACAGACATATTCTTGCTGACGGAGCACGCCAGCTGCAGTATATTCCAGCTGCAGTCCACGGGGTTTGAGAAGCCTTGAACATATTCACAGGGTGGGTCACAACTCTCAAGCCAAATGCAAGACGAGACCATCGAGCCTTATAGGTTATTATGGCGACTCCCATACGTTATATGGAAAGGTATTGGAAAGCCATGGTGGTATATCATGTGTTTTAAGGCAATACACTGAAAAAGGGAAGAGCCATGACGACACGCAAAGGCTTCCCGAGCCTTTTCTACTGCCTTCAGTGTTATTTTGCCACAGCTGAAATGATGGAGGAATCCAGCTCTGCGCACACCTCACTGTGCACAGCTAAGATGCAGATACTTAGCTATCAGCCGATTTCCTAATACTGCCACTGGTAAATAATCATCAACTTTTTTGAAATATTACTTCATTTAAGAAATCCTGTTAGTGTGATTCTAATTTATGGCAATAGAGAAGGTGGTGTTCGCATTCTAAAAATAAAATGATCACTTATTATGGAAACAAGTTCAGCTTCTGTGACAAAAGATCACTATATTTTTTATTGACAATAAACAACTTGAAATTTCCATTGCAAAACAAGACTGTCTTTTCAGTCCAAGCGACGTGTTGAGAAGAAGCTGATTAAATGCTATTCTTTTCAGTAAAGAGAGAAAGGACTGTATAAAATTCACTTTAAATTATGAAAATTTTCTTCAGCACGTACTATTGAGGAAAACAACACCAATTTTTTTTCTTTAAATAAGAGCTTGGAAGACTTCACACTCCCAAATTATCCCACTCATTATTTGGTAATTAAATCACTGTCAATTACTGTATCTTAACCCCTGCTCTCTCGAATTTCAGGAGAGCGCCCCGTGGGAGCCCCAGCGCAAAGCAGCAGTGCAGAGCAGCGGCAGGGTGGGCAGCGGTGCTGAGGACTTGGAGCAGCCTGCGAGGACACTCTTGGGCTCGTGCCCTCCAAACCGCAGGACCTCCCGGGACTTCCCGGACCATGCCCCCAACCCCAGCAGGCACAAGAGGAGGGGGAGCTCAGTGCAGGAATCTCCTCTGCCCAGCTGCCGCAGGAGCAATTACCCAGCACTAGGATCCAGCATAGCCGCACATATCGTCATCTTTGAGACATCCTGTGCATCGCATATGGTTAAGATTGGCCGGTTGGCTCAACAATAGGAACGAGGTGGATAAACAAATATACCTGGGTTTTAGCCTTGTTTCCCAAGGAAAGGAAGCCTTTCACTGTCTGCATATTCAAGCAAACTGTATTAATATACAGAAATGTGGTTCTTCAGGCTAAAATTATGGCTTTTTTTAAAAAACAAAACAGCCCACAGCACCTCCATTTTCATAAAATGCCCTCTGCGTGTATTCAGAGCTCATTTTAATGAAACGCGCACTTCAATTTCATACATTTTTCTCCTTGTGCAACCAGTGTGACTGCAGGACAGTGAACAGAAATTTACTCACTTCATGCATCTGCAGAATAGTTTCCCAAATTTCAGTTACAAAACATCTAGCCTGATTTTCTGAGACATCAAATGCCCACAGCTTTTTGTTAATACAATGAGAATTAAACAGATGTCTCATAAAATTAGGGCACTCGCTGTTGGGGACAATGATCAAAACAGTTTGCTTTTACACAGATTTTCAATTAAATGCGTGATGCCTGGTTATCCTCTTACTTGTAAACCAAGCGTATTTGATTTAGTACTAATGACAAACTAGGAAATTAACAGATTTTAATAGTGGAATTTGTGTGAACTAAAAATGGAAACAAAACAGCGTAACACAAGGTAAAAAAATATGGGGTCACTGAGTTTTACAGACACCACCTCATCCTTACCTATAGGAAATGAAACTGTGGTTAAATAGCCACTCTCAAAATAGGCAGCAAAAAAGCAGCAGAGGACATACTTGTGAAGTAATTTTTCACATGAAATTTATTTATATACATGAACCACTCAGAAATGGCTAAAATGGTTCCTGGAGTCCTAATTCCAAAGCCTTGTTTGAAAGATGCAAGCCCAAAGATGATATTAACAACTCTAAAGTTACAAAAGCCCAGTAAAATAAAATTTAAAGCACTCTCTCCAAATCTTAGACACTACTCAGCCCTCTTCCCCACCCACAGTGTTTTGCTGTTCTGTAAAGAAACCAGAAGGCTGAAAAACAAGGTAAATACTATTTAAATATGCATTAAAAGCACACATATGTAAGAGTTAAAAAAAAAGATAAAGATGACTCATATTAAATTAGTAAGAGACCCCATTAGATTATCGACTTTGGCCTCCTCGATTTCACAGGCCATTATGTTTCACCCAGTTACTACTACTAACAGAACAGCGTGTCCCCGTGGTGGTGACAAGCCAGCCAGCACCAGCACCACAAGCCTGGCAGTAGTGTTGAATTATCAAACCCTGCTGGGAAGCCATTAGGAGCTCCCACAACACTATACTGAAAACTCATGTTCGGTTGTTCAGTGATTGTGGCATCTCAGTCCTTTCCACGGTCCTTGTTTTTAAGTACAACAAATCTTGTTCTGAAGGTCTGGTGGTCACAGAACCAGGTATCTGGCTATACTAAAAACCCTCTTGCTTAAATGGGCTTTGCTAATCATAGAATCATAGAATCATTAA